TTTTTCTTCACTACCTATTCAAGCCGTCTCCAGCCATTATTAGTCTCAAAGTGGGTTCCTCGTCATCGAATGTTTATGTTTTGTTACAGTTCATACACCTTTATTCTATAAATTCCTGTCTTGTAACAATATATTTTCAACAATTTGTAGATTTATTTAATTGTAAATCTTATTTAAAACTACATAAATGTCAATACTCATTAATATAAACAAAATTAAAAAAATACAAGGTTGACTCCCAGGAGTGGGGAAAAAAAAACACGTCAGGGTTATGTCACAAACAAACAAGGCTATGTTAAAATTCTTATTGCTGATAGCTATTCATCGCAGTTTAAACATGGTGATAATATATATATATATAGATCCTGCATAATGTAACCAACAAAAACAACAATTTTTCGTGAAAAACCTTTAACCATTAGGGAAACGGCCATATATTGTCACTCACACATATCAAATCACAACCATTTCTATATAACTTCAACAATAACAATAAATGAGCAAAACACCAAGTCTGTTGCCCTTAAGAACATATCTATCAACAATAGCTTATCTTATGTCATTGTTAACCAGTAAAATAAAAGAAAGAGATAAAACCAAATACCCTATAGATACTTTTGTATATCAAACACCTTGAATCTTTCCTGCCATAAGAAAGGTTTTTGGTAGTTTATTAGTAAAAAAATGACAACATTCTGAAGCTCTAGTCAGGATATGGTCTTAAATTTGGCCCAACCGATTGTCTAGTCAGTTGCAACAACTGTAATTCAGGTTGCCTCTGTTACGCCAGATTGTTGTTTTGTGAGCATGTCTCCCTTTCTTCAGTACATCTGCATAGGATAAGTTTCCAGGAAGCCTAACCTGGAAAGTTTGATGTGAGAATGGTCTTGGAAGAGTGAAGTCTTGAAAAGATATCCAAGCTGACCGTTTGGAGCTTTTACAATTGGAGAATTTTGTGATTGGAGTATGGGTAATTTGTGTCTGTCCAGAAAGTCTGCCATCTAAAGAACTATTTTTCTTCATACTTTTGTTTTCAGAAATGTCAAGACTTTTGCAACCAGCAGAGTTCAACCTAGAACCGTGACTGGCCTGAGAAATGGGGGAAACGTTATTCGGAGAGACTCTGGTATTTGATGTCTGTTCTTCTGGTGGCTGAATATCCTTCTGCAATGATGAGTTTTGAGGTAGTTGTATGTTTTCTTCAAGGTCAACATTAAGAGATTGTTTTAGAACCGCAAATATTTCCTTAAACAGCCGCTTGTACTCGGGAGGACCATGACTGAAATGATCATTTAAAGAATCTGATGCTGATGAGAAGTCCAAAGTTTTTGTGGAAGAAGCTTGCTCTGTTTTAGCTTCAGGAAAAGGTTCGGTCTGAATTTCCTGATCAATCATGATGCGTTCTGAGATTTCAGAAAACCCAGAGGAAAGAGAAGAGTCTGACAGTTCTTCAGTGGCCAACTTGGATCTAGAGAGTTGTGGCAGTGTTGATGACCAGTGTAATGTGGCACTCAACTGGTTTCTTGAAGGCTTGACATCAATTTCACAATCTACACTATCACATCCTCTATCTGTACCTTCATTAAGTGCTTGTTCTTCCCTGTTTCTTTTGGCACTCTTGTAATCTTCGACACCCAAGCTCTGGGAAAGTTGCTCCCCAAGGTGAAGCCTACGAGAACCCAACATGTCTTCATACTTTTCAATGAGTTCCCTGTACTGATCATCCAATTCACTCAAAAGAGACACACCTTTGTGTATGTTACTGCTATGAATTTTAGATTCTAATGCATTAGTAATTGATAGTAGAGATTCTTGGCTACCATAGGCCAAAACACCATTTCTTAACTGAACCAAGCTACATTCTCCGATCTCAGTAACTTCCTCAGCTTCAACATCACAGTCCAGGACCTCTTGATTCTCACAATTACTGATGGATGGCATGGCAAACTGGCAGTCTGGACAGGAGTCTTTCCTGAGAACAAAGAGATACAAATATCAATGTTCTCCTTTCATTACTTCAATTAGCTCATACACTTTTGTTTTGATATATTATAATCTTCTATTTTCACTGGGAATTTCGAACGTATAAACCAGAACATTCATAAGTACATCTTCAACAACAGTTCACAAGTTGTCATAAAACAAGTTTATAAAATCTAGTTAACTTAGTAGTTTCAGCTTTAAACCATGTTATTTAGTAATCTGATAGAGTATATAATAGTGTCTGAAGGCAGCTCACTAATTATTAAATAATCCTCATTAGCTGATTGGTTTACACCAAGTTTCTTTAATTATTAAATAATCCTGATTAGCTGATTGGTTTACACCAAGTTTCTTTAATTATTATTTATCTGCTTTTGGGCCTCCA